ACCCATGCACCCACACCCACCGGCGGGCGGCACAGCAGAACAGCAGGCCTGCTAGCAGCACTAGTACACAGTAAGTCGAGTAGTCTCGGCGCCTAAGTGGGCTGTCTCTATTAGTATCAGCTTCTGCATATGTAAGCATAAGCGCGGATGCGGACCGCCCAAATAGGTAAGGCGTGTGTGGCGCGAGGGCAGAGAGTAGAGTACACGCTCTCACAAATGCTTGTTTCACTCGCGCCCTTCAGCCACGTTCCCACTCCAGACCACATACCGGCGCCGAGAGACCTCATTGTCGTTTTCAATTACTCGACTCTCCGCGTCTTCTCCCGCACCCATCCCCTGGTTGCATTTTCTTTGAGTACATACACACCCGCTGGCACGGTTGGCCTGACCTATCCCTGTTTCTGGTACTCCGCATCCCTCAGGTTAGCCGGCGCAATCTGGCTTCTCCATAAGCCGAATAATTAGCCATCTATCCATCCCTACTCTCACCGACGACCACAGTATCCTCACCCCTGAGCCCTCGCCCCTCAACTCTCAAATTTCCCGCGCCCCGCACATAGACAGTCGTCTATACCTGGCCAGCCCTGTGCAACGCGCTTCAGCTACTACATGATCGCAGCCGGCTGCTCATAGCCTCCTTTCCTTTCGGCGCCCTCGCCATGCGCATTCACTTTTGGGGCCTGCTGTCGGTGGCGACGCTCGCTGCAGCAGGAAATCGCCTCCCACCCCGCAACTACACGAGCCACGACTATTATGCCATCCACATCTCCCCGTCCGAGTCTCCCTCAGAAGTCGCTGCCCACCTGGGCTTGACGTACGACGGTCCCTTCGACTCGCTCGACCACCACCACATCTTCAAAGCCCCGAAACATGACAACGACATCGTAGACGATGCACGGCAAGAGCTCAAGAGGCGTCGGCGGAAGCGTGAAGTCGGCGCCGAGTACCACCCCCTTGACAGTATCCGCTTCGCGCAGAAGCAAAAGCTCAAGCCTCGCCACTGGAAGCGGAGTGTAATACCTCCACTGCCAGATCGAGCCGTCCCGGTCACGGAAGCCATCACAGCTCAGCGCAAGGTCGCAGAGCAGCTACAAATCAAAGATCCTATTTTCGAGGAGCAGTGGCATATTTTCAACGTCAAGGCACAGGGCAACGATATCAACGTCACCGGCGTGTGGCTGCAGGGCATCACTGGCAAAGGCGTCACTGCATGCGTTGTGGACGATGGTCTGGATTACACCAGCAACGACTTGAAGGACAATTTTTTCGCCGAGGGCTCTCACGACTACAATGATCACGAAGACCTACCCACCCCAAAACTCTCTGACGACCGCCACGGAACAAGATGTGCTGGAGAAATTGCTGCGGGAAAGAACGATGCCTGTGGACTTGGACTCGCCTACGAAGCCAAGGTCTCTGGTGTACGCATCCTCTCGGGCGACATTACCGACGTTGACGAGGCGCTTGCTATAAACTACGAGATGCAGAAGAACGACATTTACTCATGCTCGTGGGGTCCCCCTGATGATGGCAAAACCATGCAGGCACCAGGAATTCTTATTGAGAAGGCCATGGTGAACGCTGTCCAGAACGGCCGTGGCGGCAAGGGCAACATTTATGTCTTCGCGGCTGGCAACGGCGCTGCTAGTGGCGATAACTGCAATTTCGACGGTTACACCAATAGTATCTACAGCATCACTGTCGGCGCCATTGACCAGAACAATGAACACCCATACTACTCTGAGGCATGCTCTGCCCAGCTTGTTGTAACGTACAGCAGCGGTGGCGGCGATGCCATTCACACGACCGACGTGGGCTTGAACAAGTGCACTAGCTCACACGGAGGCACATCTGCTGCTGGGCCAATTGGTGTGGGAGTGTATGCCCTGGTGCTCCAAGCTCGACCTGAATTAACATGGCGCGACGTCCAGTGGCTCACAGTCATGACCGCTGTCCCTCTCACTACCCCTAGCGACTGGACTAAGACGCCCTCTGGCCGCATGTTTAGCCACCAATTTGGCTACGGAAAGCTCGACGCTTATGCAATTGTCGAAAAAGCCAAGACCTGGGAGCTCGTCAAGCCTCAAGCCTGGTTCTACTCACCCTGGATGCATGTCCGAAAGCCGATTCCAGAGGGCGACAAGGGTCTCGCTAGTTCTTTCGAAGTCACACCAGACATGCTCAAAAACGCAAACTTTGAGCGCGTCGAGCACATTACCTTGACTATGAACGTAGAGCACCAGCGTCGTGGAGACCTCAGTGTTGAGTTGCGATCGCCAGGTGGCATGGTCTCGCACCTCTCAACTGCGCGCCGCTCGGACGAGGCGCCCTATGGTTACATTGATTGGACCTTTATGTCAGTCGCCCACTGGGGTGAAAGCGCCATTGGCAACTGGACCGTTATCATCAAAGACGTAAAAGCAGGCAACGGCAAGACTGGCGTTTTCACCGACTGGAAGCTGCGTCTCTGGGGCGAATGCATTGACGCATCCAAAGCCAAACCCCATCCAATGCCCGACGAGCACGAGGACGACGACCACGACAAGATTGACGATCATCCTGCGCACGTCACCAGCGTCGCTGTCCCCTCTAGTGCTGAGCCAACCATCACCTCTCTCCCTGCTGACCACCCCGACCGCCCCGTCAACCAGAAACCCACTCCAACACCGGCTGACAGTAGTTCCCAGACTTCTGTTGCCGCCGCGCCCACGGCAACCGCAACGGAATCTACCGCCGAAGCGAGCGAAAACTTCCTCCCCAGCCCCTTCCCCACCTTTGGCGTCTCAAAACACACCCAAATCTGGATCTATGGCGCCCTCGGCCTTATCCTCGTCTTCATCGCAGGCCTCTGTACCTACCTCTTCATTGCCCGCCGCAAGCGCATCAAGGATTCGCGCGACGCGTACGAATTTGAGGTCCTGGACGGCGACGAGGACAGAGACGATGCGGGCTTGCTTTCTGGTGCTGGAGCCGGTGGAAGGAAGAAGCGTGCGAAGAGGGGTGGCGAGCTTTACGATGCTTTTGCGGGCGAGTCTGATGAAGATCTCCTAAGTGATGATGATGATGGCAATGAGGGCCCATATAGAGATCAGGAACGTTTCAACGAGAAGTATGCGCGTGATGAGGAGAGTGAGGAGGAAGAGGGAAGTGGAAGTGGAGGGAGCTCAGTGGGGAGGAAGTAGATGGCCCATTCCTCTCTCCCCTCTCTGTCTCTCGCTCTCTGTCTTGTTGCCTTGAAGTTCAAGCTCGCATCTACGTGTTCTACGTACGACAGGCGTTTTTTTGCCTTCTTGTTTTCTAACTGTTGAACTCGGGTGACTTCCATTTGGGCGGCGTTTGAAAAGATTCCTGCGCTTGGCTTTTATAGTCGGAATAGAACATGAAAGAATGGTTGGCTTCTTCGACATGAAGGAATGTGTTTGTGAATGACAATCTTTGAGAATATGGGGGTATCATTGTTTGTATACACGGATAGAACCTCTTTTTCGTCTTTTTCTTATCCCAAGATGAATAGAAATTTACGCCACTTTTCTTCCCACATTACCCACACCCTTACCTACTACGCTAACAACAATTTCTTCCCTCTCACCCCCCGCTTCCCTAAAGCCCCATGCACTGCCTCCAAACATCTTCGCATCCCTCGCTAGCTGGATGATTTCCTCACTGGCCAGTACCTCCTTGCCCAGCGCCACTCTACCGACATCTTCGCTGCCCATAGCCATAAGCATGAGGACCGTAGGCGCCGCTACATTTTCTACACAGCCTCCCTGCGCAATCTTCTCGAGCAGCTGGTACGCGCACTGTTTGCCTATTTCGTCTGCAGGGACGCCGCCGTCAGGCGGGGAGCACACATCGGCCGAGTATATACAACCTGTGCTGCTTTCCGCGACGAGACTGATACCGAAGCCGACGGCGCCCTTGACCTTGCCTGAGGCGTGACCCTTTGCGTTGGTGGGGATTAACGGTGCGGGACTTGCGTCTGAGAAGATGTACGTGTCTGGTACGAATTTGTTGAGGATGCCTCGAGCAGTGAAGGTCATGCGTTCGTTGTTTGTCTTGGGGACTTCGACGCAGTACGCTACGCCGCGGATTTTCTTGACTCGACCTGGGTTCAAGAGGTGCAGTGTCTTGGGGAGGCGGACTTGGTGGTTGAATACGAGTTGGACTTCGCCGCCTGCGCCTTTGCCGCCTGTGGGGGCGCACGAGCGCTTGAGGATGCGCAGTTCGATGTTGCGCTCAATGGCGAAGTTTTTGTAGAGCGGCAGTATGGCGGTGCGGACGGTGTCTGCTGAAACGTCACCAGCGATTGTGGATGAGGTGACACAGCCTTCGCCGTGGAAAATGACGTTCATGTTACCCTTGCTGAATGGCGAAAGGATGCATAGAGGGATTAGCCACCAGCTTACTCCTCGCTTTCTGCATTCTGCGGGTATCTCGTGGCGGATTACGCCTCCGCTTGCGCCAAGGCCTTCGGCTGAGCCTGTGATGAGTCCCGGGCGGTAGACGAGCGTTGTGCCCGTCATGCTAAACTGTATTTGTGAGCCATTCGTCACTGAGTCGAGGAGTCGGATGAAATTTGTTTCATGGCGAGTTAAACCGGGGTTGGTCGACGAGGACCGGATTTGCGATATGCGAACAGGTCGGCCGGTGAGGGTTGCAAGCAGGAGGCGGGAAATCAGGTGGCGATGGCCAGTAAAATTGATGGGTTGCTGAAGGGAGTCGTCTAGGGCCATGGCGGGCGGTTGTGCTGTGGGGTAGAGGTACACGGAGTGTGAAATTGAAGATGCGATGCGCTGCTATGCGACTGGAACTTTTTTTGGCGGAGCTTGACGATAAGATAAGACTAGCGCAGACGCGGTCTCTGCGCGTCTCGCGTTGGACGAATCGTCCGCATGTCTCCGCATGAGCGCATAATCGATTCTGAATCGATTTGCACAGTGTCAGTTCCTACTTGCACTGTCTGATTCTAGGATACTTTGGTTGCAGTATTCTATGCAACAATGGCGGGTCTGACTAGGAAGAATGTTCATCCACTGCTCCGCTCTGTAAACGGGAAGCGCCATGCGACCGATGATGATCATGAAGAGCCGGCAGGAAAGAGACGAGCGGACAACAAGACATTTCCTGCAAAGGAACAAGAAGAAATCGATATCAATGCCGATCCACTGACCTCCGACGATGAATTACGTGCTCCCCCACCACGACCAGCCAAGTCCTCGAAACCCACTATGCCAGCACCTCGCAACGTGGATACGGAATTGAAGAGACCCCAGAGGAAGCCTGCGAAGAAGAATGCATCAATACGAGCACCAACCAGGGGTGCATTCAAGAATAGCCAAGAACTCAAAGTGGGAGATGGGCAAACTGAAGACAAGGAGAATACTCTCGCATCTTCCCAAGTGTCAACAAGCGACGGGCTAATCCAGTGGGGTATGGAACATGTCTCTCAGAAGAATAACAAGAATGCGAAAGGATACGGTTCAAAAACAAAGAATATACATGTACCAGCACCAAAGAATTTTGGGAAAGGCCCATCCAAACCTGCTGTGCGAACATATGGATCAGCAAGTCAATCAAAGAGCAAGCAACCAAGCCAGGATTCTAACAGTGACTCAAGTGTCTCCATGTTGGATGACGATGAGCTGCAAGAGCTCGCGGAAGAACTGGGTGAACCTAATTTGTCCGATGACGACGATTTACGGAGAGTGGATAGTAAAGCAACATCTAAGAAGGCCAAAGACAAGGACACTGGGGCTGTCCCTTATGATGACAAAAAACTATCCGAAGTACTCAATTCAATATCAGAACAACCCATGTCAGAAAAGTTGAAAAAAGCCGCAAAATCAGCCCAACTACTGAAACAACTCAACTCCTGGAAAGAAAACAACGACCCCCCTTCCTCGCAACCCGACTCAAGCGCCGCCCAAGACCACCTCAACGAAGTAAGCAACTACATCGAGCACCTCCCAGAAATTGAAGAAGAAGGCACCCGCTGCCCCCTCTGCAGCCACCCCGTCTCCCCCTCCGACTACTGGACCTTCTGGACCTCCAAGCCCAAAACCGTAAAACACAAATCCGCATTCTGCCACCTCCATAAAAAGCTCTCTGCACAACAAGCCTACACATCCGCGGGTTACCCACTTATAAACTGGGCCCTCCTCCCCCGCCGCCTCAAGTCTCACAAATTTACTCTCCGCCAGATCTTACTGAACGAGCGCCCCAGCCCCCACAGATCCAGATATGAACCTGTGGCTCTAACGGGGAAAGCAGCCTCTATCCCTTCTAAACGTACAGATTTATCTCCGTCCCATCAGGCTGAACTCGAGGCTTACGCCCTGGACGATCGCGCTGCGTACCCGGGCTACTACGGTCCCCACGGCCGCCGCCTCATCACTGAGAACATTCTCGACCTCCTCAAAGATGATATCAAGGGGTGCGGTGATGCGGTTGTGCAGGCGTCCGGTGTCGCAGTGTTTGTGCAGCAGGTTATGGTGCCCGAGGCGGCGGTCTTGCTTATTATGGAGGATTGTGGGGTTGGGTGGGAAGAGGCTGAGGGGGTGAGGGAGGAGACGTACGAGATGGGCGTGCTGGTTAATGAGGAGATTGAGGATGAGGTTGTTGCGGAGGAGAGTGAGGAGGAGGAGGAGGAGGAGGAGGAGGAGGAGGAGGAGGAGGAGGAGGAGGAGGAGGAGGAGGAATATTAGATGAATTAGAGGGGATGATGCGGATTACTGTTAATCTTTTGGTCTGGTGGAGGTGGATGAGGTGGGCGTATGTTTTGTCCTTGCAATTGGACTTAATGTGTTGGCGAAGCGGGTTTTCACGAGGCTCGGCCGTGGATATGGCTTGTGTTTGATACCTGAATATCTATACTTTTTTCAACATTCGTATGTCTAGATTCTCGCTTCAACAAATTGAGTCTGCGTCCGATGCTTCTTTGCTGATCAAATCCGTTTGTAAACACAGTCACGCACTATAAAGACAGAGAGCAGGATGGACATGGCGACGGGTATATTTTATTGCCAATCCTACTAGATGACCCCGAATACGGGATTTCCTACTCATAATGCTTTTGAATTACCTCCTTCGTTCATTCAAAATCGTGCGTTGACGCCATTACTCCATTGCATGGTATTACAAACATACATCTCCTATCCATCCAGCACGCCGCTTTCAATCAAACTACGGCATAACTCGGGCTCCAAAAACTTTTTGACAGTGACATCTTCAGCAAGGCCCTTTCTTCGTCGGGTCTTGAGCACAAAGTCGCGTGCTAGTTGTTGTGCGGTTGCGGGTTCGAGGGGGCGGGTTGAGATGCTTGTGTCGAGAGGGTCGCCAGGAACAATGGACCAGCGATCAAAGACAAGAGAGAGAGAGACCTGGCCTTGTGTGTGAATCTGATGAGAGTTAGTAGATGTTTGCGTTAAAGTAGATTGTATAAGTACCCTCAAATCGGTCTCGAAACCAAAAGAGTCGATGACCGGGATCAAACCGCGCACATTGTAAAGTGGAGTACCTGCAATAGGTCCATCTTGTAGAACGTGCCCTCTTCTCCGTGCAAGAACTGTGTAAAGACTACTCTTTGTGTCGGCTGGGCCAATCATACTGCACGAGTATACCGGCTCCATCAGTCTGGGACTCGCCATGAGGAATGATGAGTAGCATGCTCGTCGACTCGTGGGAATGATTTGGCCACCACCACGGAAAATAGCTTCCGATGCAAGCTCAACATCGGTAAGACGGAACTTTGTGTTGCGAATAGGCTCTTCGCAGAGCGGGCCCTCGCGCGTGGCCCAGCTGAAACCCTGTCGAAGGGTGTCTCGCACGCTTCGAAGAATCTTGCCGTCGACCTCTGTGGGGAGTGTGTCGTTTTGCAGGATGTTGGGGCCCATATCATCTGGTCCGAAAGCCCAAATATTGCGAGCTGCGAGCAGATCGTACCCGTAGTTTTGCTCAAAAAACTTGCCGACTACACGGACAGGATCCTTGATGTTGACTTTGCCTGCCTCGATATCTTCAGCGATTCCTGGATCTAGCGGCTCAGCAATCATGGTGAGCTTGTTCTTCTTGTTCGGCGTGGAAGCGTAGCACTTCATCGAAGACATCTCGACGACGGTCTCGCAGAACCGGGTGACTGGATCCGAGACCTTGATCTCCATGTCAGCATACAGCCGTCGGAGGTCGTGCAATACACAGTCCATGTAAAGCTCGCCAGTACCGAGAACCACGTGCTCTCCCGACTCCTCGACCTTTGTGGTGATTAGCGGATATGACTTGTTGATCTTGCGGAGACCGTCAAGCATCTTTGGTAGCTCAGAGGGGTTGATCGGTTCAACGGCAACCTTGAAGACGGATTCAAAAAAGTGCTTGATGGGCTTGAAGATGTAAGCGTCCTCCTCTTCCGGTAGTTTGGTTGCTACGATTGTTGCTGTCTTGACGATTGAGTTGTCGACACCGCCAAGCAACACCCAGTTGCCTGCTGGCACGCCACTGACTGGGATATTATACCTCGATTGGGCTATCCAAGTATCCGTAACTGTTGCGACAACCATGTCTTCCTCATCTTCAATTGTATAGCCTTCGCCAAGTACACGCACCGACTGCGGCGAAGTTGCGGTACCACTCAACACTCGACCAAGTGCAGTGAATGACTTTGCATCCGTCGCGTTGAAGAGCTTTGTGACGTGTACGACAAGGGGGCCGTTCTGGTCACACTTTTGCATCGCTTCGGCCGTCTTTGTGTCCAAAGGTCCGGTGTAGTGTTTTTGCAGAAGTCGTTGCGCACCTTCCTCTGGTGATGGAACGTGCTGCGTGATCATGTCTACAAAGCCCAAGGATGGACCGAAATACTGCTGACATACGAGTCGCATTAGCTCCTTTGCGTCCGCTTTGTATTCGGATGGCTTGAGCCGTATGCCCAGAGTTTCTAGCGTTTCCTTGAGATCATCCGGACTTTGACTGAGCGTATGCGAGTAGATCTTGTAAACAGGCTCTAGAATCCAGTGAACAAAAGACCGTTGCGATCCCTCCTCTTGCCGCTTGCGACTGAACTTGCGGCTTCCTGGATTGTAGAAAATATCGCCCCAAAGTCGCATGGCAAACTTATCAATGTCCAGTCCTTTCATGGGAACGCCGAATCCTGGAAGCTTCGAGGGGCCAGGATAGAAGTCGGAGTACATCTTGGCGAATGACTGAATGGTGAAGCACCATCTCATGCTGGAGCAGGCGAAAGCGACGTTGCCTTTTTCAGGGCTTACACGCCTGCTCTCACCACGACCAGGTATGGTGTTCTCAATGACAGTGTTGACCTCCTCGATGACGTGCTTTATCTTAAAGTATGCATCGCTCGGCGGCAGCTTCAGCTCCAGAATCAGGCGATCCATCTTGTTGACCACCAGCGTGAGAGGCAAGTCCTCGAGGACCGCATGTTTGATGACCTGCTCCGTGTTGACCTGCACACCCTCAACAACGTCAACCACCAACACCACTCCGTCTACCAAGCGCAATGAGGCGGCGACTTCGTCGGCGAAATTTACGTGACCGGGGGTGTCGAGTATGTTGAAAAGGTGCGACTTTGACTTTGTGTTCTGGAGCACTAGGCTCATTGGCGCCGCCTTGATTGAGAGACCGCGCTCGCGTTCGAGCACGTGTACGTCGGTGTAGCGCAGCTGCTCCTCTCGCTTCTTTCCCCTCTTGTAATCGAGGCGGTCCTGGATGTCGTGTGTCTCCATGACCAGCATGTCCATAAACGCAGTCTTTCCATGTTGTAGGTGTCCAGCAATGGCAATGTTCCGAATCTGATCTGGAAAGTTCATCAGATCAGTTAGCAGCTCTCTGGAATGGTAGACTGGTGGCAAGTCGGCCTCTTCAATCGAGAACTTCTTCTGCACGACTGGCGCGACAATGGGCTGGGCCAGAGATTGCGTGTCTTCCTCTTGCACCAGCACCTCGACATCGGGACCGTATACGTCCGAGGCGGAAGGGTAGTATTGCTTGTCCTCGTGCAGGACAACGGCGTTGGAAGGCCCATTGTCGACCTCCATCAACTGTTGGTTATTAGGCTCCGTCTCGTCTTCATCGTCGACGACATAGGCGTCGCCTGCATCGCCAACGCTCTGGACATCTTCGTCGGACTCAGCCTCGCCAATAAAGTTTCCGAACTCGTCGTAAAGGTCGTCCATGGTGGCTGCGGGGATAGTGCGCGTCGAACAGGTCGAAGCTATCGCAAAAGTCGGGAATGTCGCGAAAAGGTAACTTCCGCGTATGACAGGTTAGCGTGGGCGGTGAGGGTGGCAGCCAATAGGGGAGAAAGCGCGCTGCAGGGACCAAAACTGCCCGAGCAGGTTGCCCTGGTCGCCTCGCCGCTGTCGCAAGAAACTAATCTGGAAAAGGTTCAACTTTGCTACCGGATATATAAGTACAGAGGCAATCCAGTCGTCTGATCCTCTTTCAGCCCTCGTCCATCTTTCTATCTACTTTCCAGTTTCTGCAAGATACCCCAAAATGTCGTCTCTCCCTCCAGTCTACATTGTCTCGGCTGCCCGCACGCCCACGGGCATGTTCTTGGGGTATGTTGTGCTACCATGTGCAAAGGAGGGGCCATAGCCAGCTCACACAAAGAACAGCTCCCTCTCAAGCCTGAGTGCCATCCAGCTTGGCTCTCACGCCATCAAGTGTATGTTCTCCATGTTAGATTTCTCAGTGTTTAGTCTGACACTTCCGCGCAGCTGCCGTTGAACGTGCCGGCATCAAGCCCACCGATGTTGAGGAAGTCTTTGTTGGCAATGTCCTCTCCGCAAAGTAAGCATACTAGCAGCCCGATCCATGTATTCTCCATCAGATCAGTTGCTGACTTGTGGCTCCAAGCCTCGGCCAGAATCCCGCCCGCCAGTGTGCCATCGGCGCTGGCCTCCCCGAGTCGACCATAGCCACCACCGTCAACAAGGTGTGCGCCTCGTCTATCAAGGCCATCATTGTTGGTGCTCAGACCATTATGACTGGCAATGCCGAAATCGTCGTTGCTGCCGGAGCTGAGAGCATGTCCAACACACCCCACTATCTCCCCAACATGCGCAACGGCGCTAAGTTCGGAGACCAGTCACTGATCGACGGTCTTATCAAGGACGGTCTGACCGACGCCTACAAGAAGGAGCACATGGGACTTCAAGGCGAGGAGTGTGCCAGCGACCATGGCTTCACTCGTGAGGACCAGGACGCATACTGCATCCGTTCATACCAGAAGGCCATCGCCGCCCAAGAGGCCGGTTATTTCAAGGAGGAGATTACTCCAGTCGAGGTCCCCCAGGGACGTGGCAAGCCCCCAGTCGTTGTTGATGCCGATGACGAGCCCAAGAACGTAAGTAGTCATGGCACTACTATGGTTTTTAGTAATCCGTAAAACACCACTTGCTTACCTTTGTCTAGTTCAACGAGTCCAAGACCCGCACACTGAGGCCTGTGTTCAAGCCCAAGGACGGCACAGTCACTGCTGCCAATGCCTCACCGCTCTCTGACGGTGCCGCGGCCCTCGTCCTTGCTTCCGACGAGGCTGTCAAGAAGCACGGCCTCAAGCCCATTGCTAAGATCCTCGGCTGGGGTGATGCTGAGCAGAACCCCTCCAAGTTCACCACGGCCCCTGCTCTTGCCATGCCAAAGGCGCTGAAGCACGCCGGCGTGGAGCTGTCTGCCGTTGATGCTTTCGAGATTAACGAGGCCTTCAGTGTTGTTGCTCTCGCCAACATGAAGATCCTTGGTATTCAGGAGGACAAGGTCAACCTACACGGCGGTGCTGTTGCGATTGGCCACGCGCTGGGCGCTTCAGGTGCCAGGATCACAACCACACTGCTTGGTGTGCTAAGGCAGAAGAAGGGCAAGATTGGATGCGCTGGCATCTGCAACGGAGGTGGAGGTGCTTCCGCCATTGTTGTCGAATCGCTGGAGTAGACGTGTGATCTTGATAGAGGACGAGTCATGTTAGAAATAGAAAAAAGTTAATTACACACAAATACCCCGCCTAAAGCGCGAATTACAGAAAGAAGAAAATCTGCAAGATAGCCGACTACTTACTTTACACGTCGCCTGCCTACGTAGCCCTTGGTGATGAGATGATTGGTTTCAGGGACGGTAGAACATGTTTGTTCGCTTCGAAAGCGCTAGCGCGAGCGCCCGCTACTGGCTCGCGGCTCCTCTCGTGTATTCTATATTCAACCACTCCGCGTTTCAGGTCCACGCCAGCGAATCATCGCCAGCCAACTTCGGAGATGCCTCAGGCAATCGATAACAATGCTCTCTATCCGCAGGGGTACCGCATCCACCTGTTTCAAGCGCCACCACTCGCTTGCCAACAGCCCATCCGTCCATTTCGCATGAAACAGCGCACGTTTGGTTAAACATCCGACCAGCCTGCCTCAGCGCTACCAAACCTCCACCCCGGGCACCTGACTGGTTCCTGCAGCTCCCCTTACTGCGCCTAACCGGGGGAGATGCTCGATCCACCTGCAAATCTCCCACCGTTGAAACCAAGCCCATGTGGCCTAACGGGAGATGTACGCTCCCCCGGGCCCATCGAGTCTGTCCGCGAGGCTGCTTATGGCCAAATGCGTGGCTTTTGTGATTAGGGTATCGGTATTTGGCCCCCGTATATAGGTAGGCAGGTCGCATCTCTCCGACCGTCTGGTTGCCGTCCCGTACTCCCGTGCATTCAGTTCTTGCGTCTGTTTCTCTTCACGCGTCTAGTACGCAGTCATTCTTTACTTGATTCATTTTCTCTTGCCATCTTGACGATGCGTTTCTCCACACTCACTTCGGCTGCGGCCTTTTTCCAATTGAGCATAGCTGGCTATGTCCTCGAGGATGATTACATGACCGACTTTTACGGGTCGTTTGATTTCTTTACTAAACCTGACCCAACAAAGGGCTTCGTCAAGTATGTTGATGAGGACACGGCAAGGCAGACCAATCTCATCAACGCATCTGTCACTACCGGAGCATCATGGGGTGTAGACCACGAGAACGAGTGTCCAGAGGGAAGGCCTAGTATCCGCATAGAAAGCAAAAAGAAGTACAACAGTGGCTTGATTGTCGTCGATGTCGCTCACATGCCCTTTGGCTGCGGCACATGGCCAGCGTGAGTATACCCAAATATCAGTCCTTCCATAACAGAATGCTCAACATTGACAGATTCTGGACAACCGGACCCAATTGGCCCAAGAACGGCGAGATTGACATCATTGAAGGTGTCAACGACCAAATGAGCAACTCCATGACTCTTCACACAGGTCCTGGCTGCACAATTGGTTCCGACACCACCCAATTTGCCGGCAATGTAACCACAAAGAACTGCGATGTCAAGGCAAAAGGTCAAATGGACAACGCAGGATGCTCCATCGCAGACCGATCAACCAAGAGTTACGGTGCAGGCTTGAATGCGAACGGTGGAGGAGTCTACGCAACTCAGTGGACTTCTGATGCCATCAGTGTCTTCTTCTTCCCTCGCGGCTCCGTTCCGGAGGATGTTCTTGGTGACAACCCAGACCCCAGCGGATGGGGAAAGCCGTCCGCCAAGTTTGAGGGTGGTTGTGACATTGAGGACACATTCAAGCAGCAACAAATCGTCTTCGACACCACATTCTGCGGTGTCTGGGCTGGCAGCAGCAGTGTCTGGGGAGCCAGCTCCTGCTCAAAGAAGGCTGCTACATGCGAGGAGTGGGTACAAAACAACCCCGAAGCCTTCGCAGAAGCATACTGGACAGTCAATGCCTTGAAGGTCTACCAAGATAATGGCGAGGCTTCTGCTCCAGTACCTTCATCAGCGCCTCAGCAGAGCAGCGCTGCTTACATACCAGAGCCTGTCCCAACCGAGACAGTTGTCGTGTCTTCTACACTTGCTGGGCCAACTGGCTCTCCTGCCATACCGACTTCGGCCATCAAGCCATCTGTATCCAGTGTTGCCGTGCCCATTCCTACCAGCGAGACTGTCTCCGCCCCAGCCTCTGCCCCAATCGTAACTCCTCCCGCCTATGGAGCTCCCAGCGCCCCCAGCGTTCCCGATGCTTCAAGCCCTCCGGTCGAGAGCCCTACCGCTTCCGAAATCGCAGACGGCGCAAAGCCTGTTGCACCTCCAACCCAGATTGCAGCGCCAGCTCCAGGCCCAGCACCGACGGGCGCAGGTGGCATGCCTGGTTTCCAATGGCCTACAGGTGCCGGTGGTTCCAATGACAACGACACTGCACCAACATCGGCACCTGCCGTCTCACCTCCTCAAAACACTGGCACACCAACTCAAAACTCCAGTGATGCCGCCACTGTCCCCAGCCCCACACAAGGCATCCCTCAACCCTCAGGTCCCGCGGCTGCTCCTGAAGCGCCAGTACCCGCACCAGCCCCAACTAGTCCCGCCATTGCGCCCGTAGCTGCCCCAGTCGTTCCTGTCGTCACAGACACTGTTCAAGCCGTCTACACTGTCTATGAAACCGTGTACGCTACCGTAACTGCTAGCCCCACTGAAACACCTGCCCCTGCTGCTGCCCCTCCTGCTGCACGAAACGTGCGCATGGCAAGGTTCCTCAGGGAGCACAGACAGAGAATCACCAGGCACCATGCAAAGTTCTAGAGCCACGCATCTTCAAGGAAAATACGAAAATTGGCCGTGTAAGAAGCTATTGGGGGAAAAAGGTCAACACTGGTTGTTGACTTTTGGTTTATGACTGGGGTTATGGAGTACATGTGTATACCCTGATGATATTTTCTTTGTAGATACTTTTTCTTTCTTCTTCAAGAGTAGTAACAATATATCCTTTTCGTGATCTGCTATATACATTCTCAGACCTACCGTATTCACATTGATCCCATCCCCTCATTCCCTCACTTTACTTCTTCCACCATTACAAACAAGCAATACTCGTCCTCACATTGCCCCACTCTTAGGGTAAAGGTTAAAATAACTGCATGCCACTACAAAAGGCTAGATGGAGCGAGTGACTTTTATCCCCATGTGACAAGACACTCTATCTCCTGGAAACAACGATTGGAATAGCAAAAAAAAAGTGCAAAATGTGGACGCTGTGGGAATTGAACCCACGACCTTTCACAAGTACGCACGGAATATGCGAAGCGAAAATCATACCCCTAGACCAAGCGCCCGGTATTAGGTAATCGTTGAGATATTGTTGATATAATAATTATATATACTTGGGATGTAAAAAAACTTAG